AACCAAAAAACGAAAATCCAGCCAAAATCTCGTTTTTTCGTTTTCTCGTGAGCAAAAGAAAAACGGAAAAACGGCCGTTTTCTCCATTTCCTTTATTCCGTTTGAAAATGGAAAACAAATGAACAAAATGTACACGGACCGTACACGGACCATTTTTTGACTCATTATTTCGTTTTGGTTTTGTGTTTGTTTTAATATTTCGTTTTAAGTTAATAAGCAGAATAACAGATGAGTTTCCGTTTTTTCTGCCTACAGAATAAACAGAAAAACGAAATATTCATCGTTTTTCTGATGTTTCGTTTTCCGTAATAAAAGGAATAATCAAATGAACGGATGATACACGGACCCTTTTCAATAAGCCTATAGCACTGATAACTGTGAAGGGCTATGTTTAGATTTTTCAATTCTGTCAGCGAACACTTATGTTACTTATCACAGGCTAATTTTTTTTATCAAAACAACTTTTAAATATATCAAGCTAGCTAGGTAACATTATAACTACATAGCACTTTGACTTAGTTAACAAGTATAGGTGACTTTTTGCTAGTTGACAAGCAGGAAAAGGAATAAGATGAAAAATACCCAACTATAACGATCTGCAAAACAATTTGCCTGGAACATGTTAAATGTTATTATTATTATTGTTGTTATTATAATTATTTCCTTTATTTAGCCAGGAGATCACATTGAAACAGTAGTGTCTCTTCTTCCAGTGAGACCTGGTCCAGACGGCAGGCAGCCATTTTGTTTCACACAAAAAACAAAACCAAAAAAAATTACAAAATCACCATTTGTAAAAAAAAAAAAAAAAAAAAAAGGTCAGATCATAAAAAACAATTACAAGTATCCTTTAAGACGTTGCACAGAAGATGTTTAAAAGTACTCGGAGTCGGAAGTGTGTCAAGATTAAGCTGATTTTGTAGGTCATTCCAAGCCCAAGGAGCATAAAAAGAAAAAGCACGTTTGCCAAGTTCTGCCAATACCCTTGGGACTGTTAACTGAATACAGGAACCAAATCTAGTGTGTTGGTTATTTATGTGAAGTGTTAACAGGATGTTAAATGTTAAAATTGCAAACAAAAATCCCTGATATACCATGATTGGGGCAAATAAAATAAATAAACGAAATAAAATGCATACACAGCAAATTCATCAGAGTTAAATTCTCGGTGTTGAAGCATTTGAGAGTAAAGTGTTGACGTTAAAGAGTTAGATTTTGATAAATGAATATAATAAGAGTTAGAATTGATTTTATTCAGTGCGAAATCAAGGAGTTATCTTTTCAACACTTGGTGGTGTTATTTCCAACATCCGGGAATTCATGCAGCCCCAGTCACTGAAGAATTTTCCAGACGCCATTTTCCATCTGAGGTTTAGAACAGCAACTGGTGAGTCAAACTACCTAAATGTTGGTATTTTACTGACTTTCTTTAAGGAAATACAGTTGTAAACATGTTGTTAAGTTAATAACTTTAGAATGGAGTGACAATTTTAAACTTCTGCGGTTCATTCATGGTCGTTTGTGTATCTAGCTTAACTGCATTACTATTGACTTCTTTTCAAGAATGTTTATATATGCCCACGCATACATAGTGCATAAAAACATCAAATGTACATGTTCAACACATTTCTGTCACGCTTAATGCCATTTTGTGCGTTGTTACCCATCTGTAAAATAAAATCGACACTTCTCCTTTAATTCCAAGCAAACTAGCGAGGGAATCCCCGGAGCCGCCTAACGTTAGCCTAACTTACTCTGCCCGGATGCTAACGGCAACACAGGACGGTTTCCATAAGCTCTGGAGAGTTTCTAAAACATATCTGGTGAGTAAATGAACATATGCTTACTTGTAAAAGGCTTCCTGACTGAAACAAATGATTGTTTGTTATTCGTGTACGTTAATTTGGTTATTTTAAACACCGCGGCCCTTTTAAACTGGTTCATTCGTGGCCGTCCATATACCGTTAGTCCATAACTTAGACTCGTGTGATAACGTACGCTTGAATTATATTAAGTGTTGACAACCATTAAAGTCGGAATGTTAACATTAATGTCTTTAAATGACCGCGTTTGCACTTTATCAGACATTTAAGGTTACAGAAGTCTCCCGGAAGTTGCGGGACTAACGTTAACGTTATCCCGCAAATGCACAGAGACTCCCAGATGCCCAAGTAGATGCCCGCAAATGAATGATAATCTCCTGGAAATCGCGCGTCTCCCGCCCGGTCATTAAACACTTTGCACACCCCTCTCCACCGCATCCCTCCCAGCTCTTCAGGTACGTCGCGCGCAAGTCACCCCCACCGCTCTTCAGGTACGTCGCGCGCAACTCATCCCATGCTCTTTAGGTACTCATCTCTCCCGCTACCTCCCGCAAATCAACTCTGTATCCCCCGAAAATGACTTTTCCCAACTCGGGATGTCTGACGTTAGTAAGTTAGGCTATTTCTGTTGTCAGGAACATCTTAGTCAAGCTTTTTCTCCCGCATGATGTTGTGCTTAAAACTATAGGCTAAACTTAGCATGTACTGTACACAACATTTCCGTTTTATTAGTGCGTTGTAAAAAGCCACCTGTCTGTAAAATTAATCAACTGATTCATATTTGAGCAGCCTAATGATGATACAGGTTTGATTTGTAGATTTATTATCAATAATCAACATCTGAATCAAAAGATATGTGAAAATGTGTGAGGCATACTTTGTGATGTTCATCTCTCTTTTTTTATCTGAAGGTTATGCATATGTGTTAGATACTAATGTGTTGTTGTTTTTTAACAGCCACAGTTCTCTGTACAATAACACAAGACCCTGTGACGGTGGCTGATTAGAGACGGATGGTGTATTTCCAGAGTTGGTGAAATGACCAAGCACACCTTCTTGGTCATATGTGGTGATAATAATGAAGGTATGTTTGATAAAGTTCTGTATTTGTTTCACAATAAGCTGAGAGGGTATTAGAGCATTAAAGAATAACAAATGACATGAAGGTGATAAGTTTTGTATTGTGGGTGAACGGTTACTTAAATAATGTTTTGCTCTTTGCTTTGTACCTTTTCTTCTTCTGCTTATCCTAATATTTTAGATTATATTTGGACCTGAAACATCTGCTAGACTCCAGTAAAGGTGGCGTCAATACTGGACCTGAAAGGGCCTAACAAGTTGAATCTGGTAAAGAAACACGCACACACACACACACACACACACACACGCACGCACACGCTTACAGAAAACTGTAAGTTTATGAATATTTTTTACACTGTGGCCAATATTTTGGGGAAGTCAGCATCACTAAATGATATAAAAGATTTTAAGCTCCTCTAAATTTTGCTCCAAGTGTTGTGTTAAATTCAGGATTCTGGACAGACAGCTGCCTGTTTTTCCAGTTCTAGTCATAGTGGTTAACCTAATTGTTTTTGGAGATCCAACAGTGATATATGTGTTTTTTCTACTTTTCCATATCCTGTCACCTCAACCAGCTGGGAGAGTCAAGTTGTGGATCATCATGTAGATTTTCAAAAGGTGAGTTTAGATTTCTTGAATGTTTTATTTACTTTAAATGTTCTTTTAAATATATCATAGAATTTGATTGCAATTTGTTTTCAAACATTTTTCTTAGTCATGCTGGAGTCTTGAAGAGTTCTTAGATGAGCATCACCCTACAGTATATCCGTGCATCAGGAACCACCAGACGAGCGATCAGCAGCTGCTACTGTACATCGTCATGGATAAAAAGGTCATCCTGTGGCTGGGAAGCACATCTTTCACAGGACATGCTTGATGAGATTTCCTAGCTCCAGTTTGTTTTCACACAAGTTTACAGCATTTATACCTTCATTTAAACTGCTGTTTGATATGGAGGACCAAGGAAACACCAGAAGTGAAAGATTTGCACGCCAAGTTGTTTAAAATGTAATTTCAGAAGAAAACTATGAGTTCAGAAGAAAACTATGAGTGACGCTATATTGAACTTTCAAATTGCTCTGATGAAACATCAAGTTTGGACATCATATTTTGTTGATACTGTCTGTACTAATAAAACATTTAAAGCATATTTGACATTGTTGCATTTTAAAAATTGAATGAATTGTTGAAGTTGTGAATGTTTTCTAATAAAATGTTTTTTATTTTGTAATTTACAGTCTATTTGACCTTTTTACCATATTTACACTCAAGAGAGTTGAATAAAATAACAATATATTACACCAGGTGGTGTTAAATATAGTTACATTTTTTAACTCTGCCCTGAGTTAAAATTAACCCTTACTTCGGTGTCAATGTGCCAACCCTTTTGAAAGTGTTGATTTAAGTCTGTTTTGAGTGGACCCCATGAGACACTTTCAAAGTGTTGAAATTAACACCCATAGAGTTGTTTTGGGTCCCCATATTTTGCTGTGTAGACAAACATTTTAAAATTCAATAATTTTCCAGAAATTCCAAGACCCATGGAAACCTTTAAATAATTTTAGTTCAAGCAGGGTCATAAAACAAAGAATTGATGAAACCTTAGAAAATAGAGAAAGTTGATTAAACATGACAGTTAAGGATTTCTGAAGGATCATGTGACACCCATCTGAAGGACAGTCATGACTCAAGTAAAAATACTGAACATTAAGCATTGCCATAACAGAATATATTTGCATTTTAAAATATATTTATATAAAAACAGTTACTTTAATTATAATAATAGTTTACTGTATTTTTAAAAATCAAATAAATTAAAATTTGGTGGGCATTCAAGACCCTAAATGATTGTGTATATAGTTAAATACAAATTTAAAAATGAATAATACTGACAATAATAATAATAATTTGATTATATGTTTTTAAATCACATTTAAATCTTTAACAAACTGATTAAACTGCAATAACTGATTAACTGCTTTCTAAAAACGATGACGCACAGTTAAGATGCAATTTTTAAAAGATGCCATCACAGATATAACACACAAAACAAATTAAAGGAAAATGTATTTTCAATTACCTATGATGAACTCATACCTGCACAGGACTTAAGATGGTGTCCCTCCTCCCTTGAACTGTAATGTTCGGTTTGTGCATTTCAACATTTATTTGAATAAGACTGGAATCCTCCAACGCCACCACCAGACTCCCTCTCAAGGCAAGAGACCAGTCGAGCTGAGTGGAAAAAAATCACATCAGAATCATTACATCAAATGAATTCATCGACCTCTTATAATGACACATTTATTTAAATTTACCTCATTATTCCAATTATCCACAGGGATCTCTCTGGTAACCTTACACACAAAAAAGAACAAAAATTTAAAAAAGAGAGATCAAGACAGCAAGAAGATAATCATTAAATCAGTTATTCTTACCTGAATGGAGTCTGAATCACATTGGATGTACTCTCTATTAGGAGGCGCTAACACTGCTGGACACTTCATCATAAACTTCTGAGTTCTGCCTCCAAAACGACTAACTCTCTTCAACAGGTTCAGCACAATCACGTAATTTCCGTGCTGTAAAATCACAACAAAATGCTATTGTGTGAAAAAAGGACAGTTTTTACCAGCAAAATTCTGTGAAGTGCATGTGTTACAGTGATAAACAAAGACTTTTTCTGACCTCTAACTGGACAAAGCATCCGCTGTACATGACTCTGAAGACATAGTTTTTGTCCAGATCTCTGTGCAGTGCAAATCCACATGACGAAAGCTGATGGTTTAGATTCTCCATGGACACCAAACCCACTAGACAAAGCGAGCGATTTAGAAACAATGTTGAAAACTTACACGCATACAGTAAAATCAATTGAAAATTTAACAAATTTGGTAGTTATTTTTCATTGTTGTTCAAAATGCTGGTCAGTCATACATTTAACATTGTCCTGTGTTACTGTGTGATATAACCTAAATCAGTAATTGAATAACTAGTCTATAAAACTTATTAAATTTAGTTCATATTTAAGATTTGTTTTATTAATTAGATTAATATAAATGTCATAATATTGTGAGTTAATATCTTGTTTAAAACCATGCAATAATATTACTGTCTTTTATTTATTTATTCTTTTTGTTTATTGTTTTTTTTTTGTCCTAAAGCCATTTTTTTGTCAAAGCAACCGAATTAAGCCATACAAAGCCTTATAATTTCTTAAAATAGTGATTAAAATCTAATTTTAATAGAAGTTGTCTGTGCATCGTGTTTACTAAAATGTACACCGATTAAAAAGAATGTTTCTGTGATTAAATAAATAATACATAGACAAAATTAGATAAATAATACATAGAAATAATTAAGTTAGTTTAGGCAAAAAGTATATATATCATTTAAATATCAATCCTAGATTAGTACTCAATTTAAGCTTGTAGGAAGTAAAAGCAGAACTTATTAGTACATTAAACTTGAAACTGCTTGTTATGTTTAAAATGATTATTTGAATAAACATTGTATCAAGTTCTACAATTAAGTGAAACCTTCATTCTGATACTAGTGTGAAAATATTCAAACTAACTGCTAAAATAAAATGTACAAATTCTGTTTGTCAATTTTATATAACTTTAAGCAGATCTGACTGAAACCTAGTGAAATTGACTTTAAAATGTTTCTAAAAGGTCTGAAATCCCTAGTCTATTAGCAGAGTTTTACAGAATGACAATTACAGAATTACAGAAAGTATTATAGCAGCTAATAAACAAATTCTACATTTATATAGAAGTATAATTTCAAAATTAATAATAAGTTTAAAATAAAGGGTAATATATATATATATATATATATATAAACAGGTTTTCTTTACATGTGCTACATTATGTAATTAAATATCCATATCTCACCTTGAATTCTTAATATTCCAGAAAGCCAAAGCCTCAATCCCTCAATTCTCAATCTATGGATCCAAAGTTCCATGTACTCAGAAAAACATTCCACATCGCCCTCTAAAAAAAAGAATATCAGCCACTTTTTCAACATGGTTTTACTCCGGTGAAAACAAAATAGCTTAACTTAAGAATTACAGTACCTGTCATGCTTGAAGACGGACTCCCCATCCAGTCTCTCTTCTGCCGCAACACATTTCCCCATATAGGCAAAATGAAGTGTCTATATGAAAAAAAAAAACCATAAACAATAATCATTTTGGCAAAAAAGTACAGCTGAAAACACTAATAGAGCATAAGCATATTTGCATACATTGAAATAAGCAAAACTCTTGTCAGTGTCAGCTCCATGGCTCATTGTACATTAGTTCATGAAGAAATAGTGCTGATACAAGTGTTTTATACTGCTAATAAGTCAGCTGTGTTTGAGCTTTTACATTACAAGGGAGTGTGAAGACTAGGCTGACCCACTGTCATTATGTTACAACATACAGGCCAGCAATTGTGAAAAAAGCAATGGAAAAAGGAAAACCTGCACCTGCACGGCAACAAACATTTATCTTCCTGTTGTTCATTCACCGATTCATTTGCCTTCAATAATAAAATGGATTTGGCTTCTTAACTACTGTTATCTAGTGAAATGCAAGGTTTAAAACCTTTATGTAGCCCTAATTGTGATCTTTTTGTATAATATTGGTGGACTGACACTGAAAGTGATAACATTACAACAGTGATTATTTTTCCCCATAAGCCTTCTTAAGACACAAATCTTAATGAATGCCAAATTTTGTATTATAAAGTTCCATCTGCATTGAGCGTAAAAATATATAGCTGTTGAAATGAAAAATCAACATAATCTGATCTGTAGTTACTAAAAAACTGATACTACTAAAAACAAAGTAAATTAAACTACCAAAGTACATAGGCTAGTGATCAAAAAAGTTAGTATACCTTGTTGTTCAATCACTGATTATTTTGCCTTTAATGATAAAATGGATCCGACTGCTTAACAAAAGTCATCAAGTAAAGTCTAGTAACATTAAAATAGAGATTATTTTCCCCATAAGCCTACTTAATGACACAAATCTTAAAGAAGGCCAAATTATTTGGCATACAGCTTCCTCTGCATTCAGTGTAAAAACTGTAGCTATTGATATGAAAAACATAATGATGTGGATGTGCATCACTGGATTTTCTCTTCAGTTAAGACTTTCAGCAGTGAATATTAAACCAACTGAACAAAACTAAACTTAAACACTGAACTTACCCTGAACTGACAGTTTCAGTTTACTAGAATTTCTATGTTAAGCTGCTTTGAGACAATCTACATAGTAAAAGCGCTATATAGCTGTAAAGATCAATTGAATAATCTGATCTGTTAGTTACTAAAAACGAATAGGTCAAGTAAATTAAAATAACAAAAGTGCACAGTGATCGAAAACGTGATCAAAGTTTAAATGATTGCCTTGATGACAAAACAGTAAAACAGTGAAGGCCTGAGTTTAGATTGATAAGTGTAAATAAGAAATACTTAAAATGACAAAGAATGAGTGTTTTAAGATGCATTGTGCGTTTGAAGCTGGACTAAGCAAGAAACTTAAACAAAAACATAAATTTTGTTCTGTTTTGTGGTTAAAATATGACTTCTTTGTTCGGTGATCATCATTATACTCCTTGAAGGTAAGGAATACTGAACGGTACACATTTTTACGCTCGAGAAAACAATAAAGGGTTATTACATTTTAATTTTTTATGCTATATGAACAAACATTTAACTTGGTTGCAAGGTAGTTTTGGGCCTTTGTCTTTAAAGCTATTGTTTTACAGCGCTTTTGTCTGTTCTAGGCCTGATGTAACGAACCTGTAAGGCCTGTAAGGCCGCGCGATATGAGAGGCTTTCAACCAGCTTTCAATACTCCAGTGGATTCTTTTATTTCAACATTTCTTTTAGCCACTTTAAATACAAATTACAACCCGACCGGTCTATCGTGAAAATGAATTAACACAGTAGAACCACACCAAATGACCAAGTGTACAACAAATTACGTTTTGCGACTGAAAAGTTAACGTACTACATTTCCAAACCCCTCCATGTGCTGTGGTGAGACGCTCCAAAGTGATGACGTCATTCCTTCAGTGACGCATCAGGGCGGCCATTTTATCAGTTTAGGGGGTCGGAGCAGAAACTGGATGCAATAGTCCACGAGCTTTCTTTGTGTAATTACTTTAAATTACTTGTTTTGTGCACATTCGGTCGATAATCAGGTACAATCGATGAGGTGATATTTGCTTAGCGTATTTTCTGGCGGGAAAGGGTGCGTCGCGACATCCCATTCATTTCTAGCGTGCGCGCGGTTAGCAACTAGCTTAGCTCAGCTAATGGCACCCCGCGTTATCTAACAGTCGCACGTAAACAATAGCCACAACTCGTGTAGCCAACTAATTGGTTGCCAAGTGTGTTTATTAAGTCGTTTTGGTGTACTAATTTCTGTTTCGGCTCCGTTTGTTGCCTTAGTGCTGAATTATTGATCGAGTTGGAAACAGTTAGCACAGCTCGCGCATTCGGTGTAATCATGACGGAGTGCTATATTCGTGTGGCGGAGGATGAAAACGAGGAGCCGATGGAGATTCCGTCCGAAGAGGACGGCACCGTGCTGCTCTCCACCGTCGCCGCGCAGTTTCCCGGTGCCTGCGGCCTAAGATACCGAAGCCCCGTGTCCCAGTGCATGAGAGGGGTCCGACTAGTGGAGGGGGTTCTTCATGCACCAGAAGCAGACTGGGGCAATCTGGTGTACGTGGTTAATTATCCAAAAGGTATTGTTAGATTTGCTAGATTTTAATTGTATTGATGCAAATCAATTAATTATGGGTTATTATTATCTCAATCATAATGGGTTCGACCTGCTTATTATTGCAATCACTGAATGAATGCACTTTTCAGATAACAAGAGGAAGATGGATGAAATGGATGCCGCATCGGCGGTGAAGATCAAGAGGGGCATCCAGAAGACATCAGATTTGATTGTGCTTGGGCTGCCATGGAAAACAACAGAGCAAGACCTTAAAGATTATTTCGGCACTTTTGGAGAGGTGATCATGGTGCAGGTTAGTATAAGCAAACTTTGTTGTTGTTTTTTTTTTTTTTTTTTTGAAAAGGTATGAAATATCACATATTATTTATATTTTTCTTTTGCCAAAATCAATTACATTGAAAAAGATAAACAAAATGGTGTGACTTTAATACTTGTAACACATTAATTGAAATCTAGAGCACAGACAATGGCCTAAAATCTAGGCCTACATCAAGATCACTACAAAGGCAAACAAAAAAAGTTCACTTGGCCATCACCTTCGAGTAGTATTGAGCATGTTTTGTTTTTGTATGTGGTGACAAGTTTTGATCAGTATCTGTTGCTCAATTTAATTTAGCAATAGTTAAAATGTTAATAAAAAAAGTCAACAGTATGTCAAATCAACGGTGAAAAACATGCAAAACAAAAAAAAGTAATAGGTATGTGGCTTTATAAAGTGTAACTGCTGAATATTATTGATGCAGCCACTGCAAATGGCCCTAAATGCATTCATAACAGTCACAAGCATTTTGTTGCATAATGAATGCATGGGCACAGACTCAAATGTAAGTGGCTGTGGATTAAAGGCAATTATGCTGTAAAATATCTCTTGCACAGACCAGTTGTTTTGCTCCCCCAAAACGTATCGTCAGGAGCCACAGGTATTAGATAAAAAAAAAATAAAAAAAATCTTCATTCTAAAATTGTCTGAATCAATAAGGACCGGTCTCAACTAACTTGTGTGCTAATGGAAAAAAAATCCTAATGAGAAAAACAACTATATTTTGGGTGACTTGAGGGCACATTATTAGCAGATCAAATTTGTAGTTGAGCTATGCCTCTAATTTAGTGATACATTTGTAATTGGTAGCTGTTACATTGACCATTACTTGTTTTGTTTTTTTTTTAGGTGAAAAGGGATGCCAAGAGTGGAAATTCCAAAGGATTCGGTTTTGTAAGATTTACTGACTATGAAACACAAATAAAAGTCATGTCCCAGCGGCATATGATCGATGGAAGATGGTGCGACTGCAAACTTCCCAACTCAAAGGTACGTGAGCAACACTAATGCAACAAAATAACACAAACATTTACTGTTTTGATGTACACATTACAAATTACATTTCAACATGAACAGATCATCTTTTAATAGTTTTATCATGCTTCTGATGTTGTAAGGATGCATGAGTAGACTCTGTTTTCTATTAAATGATCTAGTATTTCCTGGAACAGGCTGGCCCTGATGAGCCTATGAGAAGCAGGAAAGTGTTTGTGGGACGCTGCACTGAGGACATGACAGCAGATGAGCTCAGACAGTTTTTTATGCAGTATGGCGAAGTCACAGATGTATTCATCCCCAAACCCTTCCGCGCTTTTGCCTTCGTCACCTTCGCAGACGATCAGGTCAGTTTTCTGTATCTTTTGCTGTCTTAATTTTGCAATGTTCTCTTCCTATATTAACGCATGCTTGTTTTCCTCCAGGTTGCCCAGTCTCTGTGCGGCGAGGACCTGATCATTAAAGGAACCAGCGTGCACATCTCCAATGCTGAGCCTAAGCACAATAATAGTAGGCAAATGATGGATCGTGGGCGTTTTGGGGGGTATGGGGGGCAGGGCTTTGGCAGTAGTCGCAGTCCAAACAGCAATGTTAATTTTGGGGCCCTAAACCTGAATCCAGCTATGATGGCAGCCGCGCAGGCAGCACTTCAGAGTAGTTGGGGTATGATGGGGATGCTTGCTAATCAGCAAAACCAGACACCCGCCTCTGGCACCAACCCTAGTGGGCAGAGTGGTAGTAGAGATCAGACCCAAAATTACAGCGCAAGCAGCAATAACTACAACGCTGGCAGCTCAGCTGCTCTGGGGTGGGGGGCGGGTACCAATTCGGCTGCAGCTGGTGGGTTCAATTCCAGTTTTGGATCTAGCATGGAGACAAAGTCCAGTTGGGGAATGTAGGGAGAGATTTGATTTGGGGCTTGAAAGTATCCTAATATGTAGATTATATGGTAAGTATTTTGAGAGAAAAAAAGTTTAGTCATATTATTTCCCTTAAATATTTGCCTTTTGATTTTGTAAAACTGAATGTTCTTCATATACAAAGTGATTGCTCTTTAAGGTTAATTGATAGTTAGTTGTGGAATGAACACTTTTCAGTTTTCATTATTGATAATTTATTTTGTATGAGGCATTATTTCAGTATGCCCACATATCAGAGTATCTCTTAGCATTTCAGGGCCCTCTCAACATACAGTACATTTAAAGATGTTCCATGTGGAAAGCCATTTGAGTTGTGTTCTCTGCAGTTTTTTTTGTACCTCAAAAGTTTTTTATGGTCAAGCCTTCATACATCTCTTCTACAGTTCATCACCTCTTTTCCAATTTCCCGGGAAGAAGCCCCTCGTTGGCCGCAATGTTCGAGCGATCTCAGTATCAGTTCCCTTCTTCCCATGTGTAAATGCTTTGTCATCAAAGAGCACAGCTTCACTCTGCATATACTGTGTTAGACGGTGGGTGTTGTCTTTTTTTTCCCTTTTTTCATGGATGAAATCTGTCCGCTTTTTTAAGAGCTGAGTGATTTGGTGATGGATTGTTGGTGCGCCACGAGTGAAAGACTGAATGAGCGAACGCGTTGAGAGAGAGAGAGCGAGCGAGAGAGAGAGAACTTGAACGAACGCAAGTGTGAAATGCTGAAAAGTGACTGTGAGAAGAACCTGTGTGAGCGAGTGTGACTTAAAGCAGCGAATGTTTTTGTTTTTCTGTAGGACTATCTGAAGGACATTTTTTCCATTCTTCCACCCCTCTCGTCCTGTCTACCTTTCCTCCCTTTCTTATATTGCAATCATAATTAAAAAAAAAAAAAAAAGATGTAGTGAAATGTTTGTGATCTATTAAGTATTTGTTCTTGCTTAATATTTGATGTGAATGCTGTGTATGGTGTGTGTGTGTTCTATCTCGCTGTTACTAAACTCATGTGTGAACGTGATGTGATGCTGCCTGTGGGCGGGGCTTCTGGGAGTTGGCAGTGTGAATGAAGGCAAGTGTGAGCTCTGAGTGGCTTAACTGAGATGATGTTATTGATGATGATGATGAAAGTGAAGAATGCTACCAGAGGAGGTTGCTTTTGTTGTGTTTTGAGTGCTTTTTATGTTTTGTGATTCTTCTAAGGGAACTCGAATAAAAAATTGACTAGTTATTTTGATAGTGGCTTATTTGCTTCAAGACATGAATTAAATTGCAAACACTTATTTAATTCGCATGTATAGGGACGTTGGACTCGGCTGGCCCAGGTTTACCTCAGAACCCTGAGTGAAGTCAATAATGGAAGAGCTGAAGACTGAAGTTCACACAGTCCATCTGTGGAGACTGCTGCTGTATGCCTTTAACCTGAAAAGGGACTACATCACTTCACTAACCAGATTTCCCAGGAATCCTTTTTGAAATTACAACGGACAATTCCCAATTGGCCGGAGTGCATGACTAAAGACAGTACAAGGCAATCTAAAAGCAGAACGACCAGTTGGTTTACGGATCAGTCCCCATCACAAATGACTTCATGTCCATGCCCGTGTGTATTTCCAGCTCTGTTTTAGGCAAGATGTCAATGCAATCATTGATCTTGCTTTTTAAGTCTTTCTTTCTTTCTTCTTTTGTTTGATTGCTTGTGTATGATCTGTCTTCACTGTAAATACAGTTTACCGCAAGTTGAAAAGGCCTATTTTTCATACAGTGTCCTGTTGTGGGTGGGGTTTGTGTTGTCATTGATTTGAGTCACTGGCAGGATATTCATTTTTCAAAGTACTTAATAAACATGCACAGAGGAATTGCATCTGTTTTTTTGTTTAATTGTTAACATTAGTCTTCTACAATTTAACAATACTAGTACAACATAAAGATACTACTCTCGTGTGGGAAATCACAGTAATGGTAGAACTGCAGGTTTCACTGCATTAGGAGATTAATGGCTAATTAAATCTTTCAATGATAACTTAAGATATTGTCCTAGTTTATACAACAGCTAAGGTTTTTTTTAAACCTGCAGTGTAAGTGTTTTTTTTTTCACAGCACTTTTATAAATTCTGTCGTAAATATGTATCATGAGCTATACAATTTAATAAAAGCCATTTTTCAATGGAATTGATATGCTTGGCCAATTAACTTTGAGTTGTGGTTACAGGTAGGTCCTATGAAAACATGATTTGTTTAACTTGTTTACACCTCCCAAAAAATTTGTACTTTAAGTTATCTGAAGTGTGACAATTTATTTAAAACTGTTTTAATTCTGCTAACATGGTCAAAGTCAGGAAAAGTGGGACATCAGTTAATTGTAATAATTAAGCTCTTTGGTGATTCAAAAGAAAAAGGCTTAATGTCAGAAACTTGTTTTATATTAAATAGAATTAGAATGCTGCAGGCAGAACAATTGGAAAATATCCAATAAGAATTTACTTATCAATTGAGTATAAAAAGAATTAAAGTTAGTTGACAAGTTCTGTTTCTGCTTTGTCTCAAACCAATTAGAACATCTGGATCAATACTAATCTTAGCAATCCACTAGTGTTGGTTTGTTAATTTAAGTTGTCCCCTAAAAAAGTAGGCAGGTAATTGTTTCTTGTTGTGCAGTTTGATGATCTATCCACTTTTAAAAAAAGTAAATTTTACAATAATTACGTTAACTTCATTGATTTGTTTCGGGGCAGCAAAGTAATTGTGTGGAGCTCAACATTTTTTTAGTGTACATTTGTACAATATCTTAAGCAATTCTATTAAAGGTTCAAACTTTTAAGGAAGAATGTGTGCAATCAAAACTAATGGCACAGCAAACACAGGGACAGTTCATCCAAAAAAATTAACCACAACCTTCATCACCACTCAATTCACAATACCTGTAACGATTGACTTCCATAGTAATACAAATACTATGGAAGTCAATGGTTACAGGTTGCAGCTTTCTACAAAATACCACATTTTGTATTAACAGGAAAAACAAACATGACTGGAACAAGAGGAGGATGAACATGATGACAGAATTTATATTTTTGATTGAACTATCTCTTAAAATAGAAAAAACGTCAGGTCACCAAGCGGGTAAGTCCTGTATGCTTCTTAAATTGTTTGATTTTTTACTGTAATGTAATAAACGTGCACCTTTTGTAAAGCTGATTTAGAACGTTAATTACCCCCCCCCCCCCCCCCCCCCCCCCAGTATTTATAAAGGATTGTTCACTACAAACTTTTTAAATGCAATGTAATTGTTAGAGTCTTTTAAAGAATTCACATAAATTTCAAAGTCCTTTCTGAAAATAAAAAAGTAAGGGTGTTTCTTTGAAAATGTACATTTATGGATGTAAAATTTAATAAATAAATAATAAATTTACAATGAGAAGGATCTACACAGAGAGTAACCAAAGAATACAATGTTTGGGGAAATACAGAAGTTTGGGAATAAGAATTTTTTTATGAAATTGGAAAAGTCAACCGAAAACACTTTCCCAAAATAAATGGTTTAGAGTTTCATCATATTGAGTACAAAATTAGCATTTAGGGGAAATATTGTAATTAAATTTAGCTAGTTTGCTATTTATTGGGTAGCAATCTCCTCATCTACGTTACCACCAGTGTAGCATCCACCTGGATGAAGTGACAGCAGCCATTTTCCACCAGACCGCACACCACAGAAGAGAGAAGAAAGAGTAATGAAGCCAATTATGATATATGGGGACGGCAGGCACTTTTTTCCAGGGGTTTCAGTACAGCGTAACCGCTACTGCGTCATCGGGTGGGCGTGGCCTATCTGTGAATTTGCATAGGTCACGGATCATGCGCAGATTGTGAAAACAGCCGTTTGATTCAGATACCTGTACGTACTGCAGGGGTTTCGTGTCAAATGCCTTTTATATGCAGTACTAAATAGCTGTCCTGATCGCAGGTGTTTCATGTGAAGTCAGTGAATGTTATATTAAACAAATTAACTTAAGATACCTCTCAGATTACATTAATACTGTTATAACTTAAGATACCTGTCCCGATCCCACGGCTTTTGTGCCAAAAACTTTATATATCATATACATTAACATCAGATACCTGTCCTGATCCCAGGTGTTTCATGTATGATCACTTTTATATACATTAACATCAGATACCTGTCCTGATCTCAGGGGTTTCATGTATGATCACTTTTATATATATTAACATCAGATACCTGTCCTGATCTCAGGGGTTTCATGTATGATCACTTTTATATATATTAACATCAGATACCTGTCCTGATCTCAGGTGTTTCATGTATGATCACTTTTATATATATTAACATCAGATACCTGTCCTGATCTCAGGTGTTTCATGTATGATCACTTTTATATTATATACATTAACATCAGATACCTGTCCTGATCTCAGGTGTTTCATGTATGATCACTTTTATATATATTAACATCAGATACCTGTCCTGATCTCAGGGGTTTCATGTATGATCACTTTTATATATATTAACATCAGATACCTGTCCTGATCTCAGGGGTTTCATGTATGATCACTTTTATATATATTAACATCAGATACCTGTCCTGATCTCAGGGGTTTCATGTATGATCACTTTTATATATATTAACATCAGATACCTGTCCTGATCTCAGGTGTTTCATGTATGATCACTTTTATATATATTAACATCAGATACCTGTCCTGATCCCAGGTGTTTCATGTATGATCACTTTTATATTATATACTGTAACATCAGATACCTGTCCTGATCCCAGGGGTTTCATGTATGATCACTTTTATATTATATACTGTAACATCAGATACCTGTCCTGATCCCAGGGGTTTTATGTATGATCACTTTTATATTAGTTAACATCAGATACCTGTCCTGATCCCAGGTGTTTCATGTATGATCACTTTTATATATATTAACATCAGATACCTGTCCTGATCCCAGGGGTTTCATGTATGATCACTTTTATATTATATACTGTAACATCAGATACCTGTCCTGATCCCAGGTGTTTCATGTATGATCACTTTTATATATATTAACATCAGATACCTGTCCTGATCTCAGGTGTTTCATGTATGATCACTTTTATATATATTAACATCAGATACCTGTCCTGATCTCAGGTGTTTCATGTATGATCACTTTTATATTATATACATTAACATCAGATACCTGTCCTGATCCCAGGGGTTTCATGTATGATCACTTTTATATTATATACTGTAACATCAGATATCTGTCCTGATCCCAGGGGTTTTATGTATGATCACTTTTATATTAGTTAACATCAGATACCTGTCCTGATCCCAGGTGTTTCATGTATGATCACTTTTATATATATTAACATCAGATACCTGTCCTGATCCCAGGGGTTTCATGTATGATCACTTTTATATATATTAACATCAAATACCTGTCCTGATCCCAGGTGTTTCATGTATGATCACTTTTATATTATATACAGTAACATCAAATACCTGTCCTGATCTCAGGTGTTTCATGTATGATCACTTTTATATATATTAACATCAGATACCTGTCCTGATCTCAGGTGTTTCATGTATGATCACTTTTATATATATTAACATCAGATACCTGTCCTGATCTCAGGTGTTTCATGTATGATCACTTTTATATTATATACATTAACATCAGATACCTGTCCTGATCCCAGGGGTTTCATGTATGATCACTTTTATATACATTAATATCAGATACCTGTCCTGATCCCAGGGGTTTTATGTATGATCACTTTTATATTAGTTAACATCAGATACCTGTCCTGATCCCAGTTGTTTTGTGTATGATGACTTTAAATAAAAATAGAAAATAAATATGAGTTATGTTAATTAACTAAGATCGAGAAAGAAAAATTAACCACGATTTATTACAGAAAATGTGTTATTTATTTGTTTAAACATGACTGAATACCATATTTTAAACTACAAAAACACGGTTAATCTTACCACAACCATTATTATTTGGTTTAAAATGGAAGTACAAAAGCCCAGAGACAGTAAAACGGAGTAAAACGAGGTCAGCCGTTTTTGCTAATGAAATCTTTAAAATATAACATTATAAAACCAAAAAAATAACCTGTATGATTGTTTTTTCCCTCGTTATCCACCGCGGTAGGTTCTTTATCCATTATCATCCTGTTTGAAATGACCGCGCTAAAAAAGAACCTGTACTGCGCATGATCGGTGACCTCTCAGTATTGTTTTTTTTTTAAGGGGGCGTTTCCCAAACACCGACCGAGCCACGCCCATTTTACGTCGTGGTAATGAAACCCCTGGAATTTAGTGCATGCCATATGGGGACAGAGGCCAGTGGGTAAATTTGGCCAGGATGCCGGGGTTAAACCCGTACTCTTTTTCGACAGACATTCTGGGATTTTAGGGTATATGCTGAAGCATGCTAATAGGACTCTTAATTTGCCAGTAACCTGGGTTAAGCGCTTCCGGCGAACTGTATGCCAAAGGAAAAATCTGCACGTTTTTAAGGTCTGTTTTCTTTTAAAAATCAGCGATCTCCACTGGCTGAGTGATATCCGATATGAAGTGGTTCTCAGATTGTACTAGAAGCACTACATTAAATTACATTTTCCCCGCCATATTTTACCTCAGTATATTCAATGTCTGCGCTATCCTGCCGATTCTGACGGGTGAGTGCAAGTAAAAGGCCTTTTGTCTCGTTTTACGCTTGAACAACTAAATGTATGCCAAAGTTTATTTAACTGAATGTATTTTAATTACATTACAACATGAATGCTGTAAAAGGAACCGTATAAAATGGAAAAAACTCACAATAACCGTTCACCGGAAGTTTATACGTAACTTATATGGGAACAACACTAGCTCGGCATATACCCAATTATATTCATCTGTCTCCATATTCTACTGCATCCCAGAATATTACACAGCACCAAAAATGTAAAAAAAATATATATAAATATTTATATATTGAATATATTTAATATATTTTTGTGTATGGCAGACGGCAACTCGCCGTGACGCAGATTCCCGAGTCTGTGTAACTTGTAAGTTACTCCAATCAGGTAAGCCCTCTTCAGCGCTCGCCATGACAACGAGATAGCAGTGACGTGCCTTGTAAAAATTTGCATCTGCATTCCTATAAA